TCCCAGCCTCTAAGCCGTCAATGTTTGAACCTTTCTCGCGGTGCTATTTCGCGTTTCAAAACGGAAGGGTATGCAAAAGGATTGCGGCGGACACATCCCACATCGCCAGACGTCCGCCTCCCGGACTCCACTGATAATTACTCGTTCTTTCATATTGTCTCGGCCACCGTATAAGGTTGGCTTTGTGTTCACCCAAAAATCCGGCTATCTCATACCTTAGCCTGTCGTCCTTCCGCCTGCTTTTCATTCTCTGCCTGATTACTCGACCACTTCGAAAGAATAGCTGTGTTCTTGAGTAAACAAGGCGAAAACATCTTAAGAAGGCCGTCGCGTCATAAGGTAGACCCTAGCCACTTCGAGCTTCAGGTCCGGTCCCGAGTAGAAAGACGAGAAGTTGGACGCTTGCAGAAAAGACATTGCTTTCCGTACCGAATGAGTGGAGAATAATTAGGGGCAAGTTGACGGTCGGACGAGAGCACACGTCCAGCGTCCCGAGAGCAGGCATCCGAGTGCCACAAGGTTGGGGGCTAGAGCGTTTCGAACGAGGGTCTGTCTGAGTCTACATTGGAGTTGATTGGTCGAGAACTAGACTCCTGCTGGTACGCTCTAGGTGCGCAGTGTTGCATCTGACACCTGGGGAATAGTCATCACAGCGTACGTCTTTGATTAGTATGTTATCACCGACAAAGACAAGGGAGACTGGAATGGCCATTTCTGGCTTATTAGCCGTCGTCAGCCAGTCACACCCAACCCCAAAGTGTGGAACACTCGAGGCTCGAACTCGCGACCTGTTAGTTAGAAGTCTAACGCCTCTAACCACTGGGCCACGAGCCCGTTGCCCTGTCGGTTTCGATCGGAAATATACAATGACAGGGGGGTGCTCACCGATCCTTCTTACGGAACTCACTCGTTCCGTTGTGCCTTACGGGCTCTCTCTCAAGCCCAACCAGTGGCCGCACAACGGTGCATGATATAGGCAGTATGTTATTCCCTTGTCTTTGTCGGTAATAACATACGGCCTATATCATGCGCCGCTGTGCGGCTGCTGGTTGGGGTCGAGAGAGAGAGAGAGCCCGTAATACACAACGGAACGAGTGAGTTCTGTAAGAACGGTCGGTGAGCGCCCTCCTACCATCGTCTTTGATTAGTCCTGTCATCGGGTCTGCATAGTAATAATGACTCACGGTAAGTAAAACGAAGAGAAAAAAACAACCAAAAATATAAGTGATGAGGGAGGGAGCTGAAGGGTTTTCTGTACCTGTGATCTAGTCCTGAGGTCAGGGACAAGGGAGGGAGGTGTCATCGGGGTGGGTCTATGTTTTGTCGCTGTAAAGCGGGATTAAGCCTAGACCAGGATAGGTGGGGAGTTGGATAAACGCCTTCTGCAGGAACAGGGTTGGGTTGGCTAATTGAATTTACACCGCCTCTGTCGCCTCTGCCTTGTGGCAGCGTACGCCATGACGTCCCAAAAAATAAAACGCAACAGCTTCTATTGATGTAGTAAGCAATTTAATTAGGGTCCAATACGTAGACCATGCAGGACTCGGAAGAAACTGCACAGATTAGAAACATGCGTATTCACATGGGAGGGTATTTTTGGAGGGGAGGGGGGTGATCTTGCTGGTACCGTTCTCGCAGGCATTATGAATAGCATTCAACAATAACGTTAGAGTGGCTTCGCAGTTTATCACATGCGGTTTAGGGTTAAATTCATTGGGAATGGCCATTTCAGTTCAAAAGGGGACATACTGTGTATGGTTTAAATGAGCACTTTAACGCAAAGTAATACCAATCGGCGATTTCGCGCATTGTCATAGTGAATTTTTGGCGCAAGTCGCAATGAGGGGTGAGCCGGTTGTGCGTTTGAGGGGATTCCGAGTAAGGATTCCTTCGGCCTCGTTTCTTTAAAAAGCAACAAAATGGTCATGTAGAGCACATGCGTCTTTAAGTAGGCTTCCAAGGGAAAGCCGCCTCGCTGCCTCTGCAAGGCTGAATAGCATGGAGCATAAGCTAATATTAAGCCATGCAAGGTGGTCTGCTGGGTTTTATCTGGGAATCTCCCCGGCCACCCACGCAGTGAACAGGTGATGCTTGTTTCGAACTTCGGATGCTGGTCAAAAGTAGGATTAAACGAAAGAGGCACTAATTAGCGTGTGAAGAACGCTGCCGAGGGGCTTTTGATCATGGCAATCGAACGACCAGTTCGTATACAAATGCAGCCCCTACGGCTGCCAATTGCAGACGCCAATAAGCCCTCTAATCGTCCAATCAATTCACTAAGTCAACAGTCACTGAGTCTCGCAGAATATATGACTGGGCCGTGATTCGCCTGGCGTGCTGAGTGCACGCACTACTAGACGCCACGGTCGCTTTCGCTTTTTCAGTCCACAACTGTTGCTGTTACGATAGTAACTTTGCGGCTTGTTGGGTGGCTGAAGCAATACTAGTCTTATTGGGGCCTAATTACTCTTAAAGGCCGGACAGGTCGGTATTCGCTTGTCACTATGTGAGAGAGAACTCGTGTGTGGAACATTTACCTAGGGCAAGTAGTGACATTGGGGCAAATGACGACTCTTCAACTTGCCTGAGCTCCAGCATCATGCTGGTCAAAACCGACTGTTGCAAACTGCAGCGAGTGTCCATTCAGAACCCTAATATTGGCGAGCCTCATTCGCCCGCGAAATGTCGAAAAGGAACCAAGAGGGAGGGTGTAGTATGCACATACTCCAAGGGGACGGACGCCCTGGGACCTTTCCAGGGATGTTTATCGGTCGCGTTACGGAAATCCCTCGTCTCATTGCGTCTTGGGGCTCTCCCTCTCGAGCTCCACCAGCAGCCGCATGGCGGCGCGTAATATAGGCAGAATAGCGTTGCCGACAAAGACAAGAGAGAACGAAATGGCCGCTTCTGGCTTACTGGCCGTCGTCAGCCAGCCATACCCGACCCCGAAGTGTGGAACACCCGGGGCTCGAACTTCCGACCTGTTAGTTAGAAGTCCACGCCTCTAACTACTGAGCCACGGGCTCGCTGTCCGGTCAGTTGCAATCGCGTATATACAACGGCTGGCTAAAGACAGCTAACAAGTTAGAAATAGTCATTCCAATCTCTCTCGTCTTTGTTGGTAGTACTATTTTGCCTCTATTACGCGCCGCTGTGCGGCTGCTGGTGGGTCCCGAGAGAGAGAGAGCCCCAAGACACGATGGGACGAATGAGTTCCGTAGCGCGATCGGTGAGCGCCCCTCTACCGTCCGGCCGCCCGGTCCATCTTTTCTGTGATCGCCGGCTCTTGACTCCGCATGCTTGCCTGCCCTATTGGCCCTGTCGAAACCGATCCGATCAGTAGCTTCAGGTAGACGAGATGCAGGCCTGTAATTCGGTTAAAGGTACAAGTCGAGCACAAACTTCCGAGTACCAGCCTGGCCAGATTATCATTTGCGCGGCCGACTAGCATTACTTTCTTAAAGGCATGACTGTGGCTCGTCTGCTGTATGTGGCCATAGACTAGAGATAGTTTATCCTAGTGGCTGATTGCAAGTTGGTGTACGTGCGATCGTGTGCCGAGGCGTTCGAGGTTTCACCAGCATAGCTCACGTCACAGTTTCGGTATGGCATGCCATGGATCACTGTTGATTGTCATGTGACTGGTAGCGGGTCTTTGGGTCTAGTGATCTGCTGCCTGACTGAGCATTCTAGCTAATGAGCCACACCAATCTCAAAAGGTTTTAGGATTCTCGCCGTCCTTGTTCTTCACGCGGGGATCGCGGATCTAGACGTTGACTTTTCTCCGCTTAACCGCTAAATATGAGGCTTCCTGAAGCCCTTACGTACGTATGAAGGACTTCGCACAACCGTTGGCTTCAAATATAACTGCAAGTATTCATCCCCTCCTTCCTCCTGCTGTCGTCGCAACACTATGTTTGGACACGTTGGAAGAGGGTTCTGGTAGAATTGCATTTGGGATCAAAAGAGTGGTCTCCTTTGGAGTGAAAGATACACCTCGTGTTATTCACCACAGGACAGACCGTTGTCCCTATCTTCGCATCTGCCATCTTCGTAAATTGTGAGTTGTCAGCATAGGCAAGACAATAGACAGGCTGAGGAAAGAGTGAGCTTTCACGAGAGGAGATGCCACTGATGTTGCAAGTGCGCGCTTCCACGGTCTGCCAAAGGTGCTCAAGCCAGTAGTGCACCCTACGCCCCATTGTCTACTAGTGTGAACCCCACATAGGCACCAGCTAGAAGCCCAGACACGTGTTTCGCCGAAGTTCTGCCTCTGCGCGATGCAGCTGCAAGGAATTCGGCTCCTCAGTGGGTCCCCCAGCGTTCTCTATGCGGTTTCTGGTATATGAAGTCCAGAGAAAAGTCAAGCTAATAATTTCAGAAAGTATTCAATGCAGAACACGAAATTAAGTTTCTAGGACCGGAGGCAACAATCTAAGGTTAGTCCTTGAGGTCGAAAGATCCGCTGCAACGGCAAGCAATGTCTGGCGTCATTTATGGAATCTGATGCAGCTGTGGACAAAGCAACCACGTTGGAGAAACTGCGAAACTACTCTGAACGCGAATGTCCGAGCATGCAACAGCATTGAGGGGGAATGATGCTAACTCCCATCTCACGGCCCATTCGACGAGACCGACCCACACCTTTTAAGTTTTATGATGACAACATTGTCACAAGAGGGGACAACCACATGAGCAGCGAGCTGCTTGAGTCATAGTTTTCCAACCCGTATTTAAGTAACAGGCGCCGTGACCTTCCGCTACCATATTCTGTGCTGCGATTTTGCCTGAGTAAAATAATTAGCCACTCGGAGAGAGCGCGAACGTTTAATGGGTCCGGTGGTAATGAGTTAAATTTCCGAGTGATCGCCACATCAGAAATCAGCAACGCGGATGAAATCACGGTGAGGGTCAACTCGAGTAGGGGCAGTCAAGCCATCATCGCGTCAAATATGACCCCCCTTGATAAACGTGGTGGGTCAGAGTGAGGATCCGAGACCTCAGGCTGATATAGTTCTTGTTTCAGCGATCACTTCTTTTTCTTCTTCTTCCTCTGCTTCTTCTTCTTCTTCTTCTTCTTCTTCTTCTTCTTCTTCTTCTTCTTCTTCTTCTTCTTCTTCATCACTACTACCGCCACCACCACCACCACCACCACCACCACCACCACCACCACCACCACCACCACCATCATCATCATCATCATCTGCCGAACTACTTCCTGGAACTCGCCTGTTCGCTTCTATCGACTTCGGTGAAATTATCATAATTGATTTCCCTCCTAGTTTTCTATCTCCAGGAAGACATAGCCATACGTTCGATAACACCCTTTGTCCTATTTAAAGTTCTAGTATGCATCAGAACTTCTGACCGCTATCTGTCCATTTTTTACCTCCTTCCTTTTTATTTAGCACGCTCTATTCCGATTGCTGACATTTGTTTTTATGATGATTGACACTGTCACATTGGCTGGCACAGGGCTTCTGGCTTCCAAATCTTTACTTCATCTGCAACACCAATTGTCGTATGATGTTCCATTAAGTAGATGTGAAGAAAATATATCAAGTCCTCTCGAAACATGGTCAATCAGGACTGCATAACCTACAAACGCCGAGACTTTCGTTTCTCGAAGTCGGATGGCGAGGGACAGTAGTTTATTGGAATCAGTGACCGTAGTTAGCGCCCTCTCCGGTCTGATTGGCAGAAAGTGCAAACTTCAGTGCGTTAGAACAATGCGATCGATGCACCACCCTGTAGACCGGTTATTTGCCAGCCTACACAGAGTGCGCACATAGTAGGCCGCGCAGCCTCCTCATTTTCGTATGTTTACATTTAAATAGTGCTGGAAAATAAAAAAAGAGATACGAGACTCTGTTTAAATTGGCGCACAACAGAATTGACGTCATCGTCTAGATCACTAATCGGGACACCAACTGCGCTGAATGGGATTCCACTGAGCGCAGAGAACAGGCAGCCATATTCGAAAAGAGCATGTATATTCTCGGGGGAGGGGGGGGGGAGTGGCAGAGCGGGTTGCAACAACGTCTCCTCATAATACATACAGTGTCCTCTTATTGCAGACGTCACTAAACCAACGACAGCACAATAATTAGGTAGTGAACGGGAGTATTGATCTCCCCCGTATTGCAGGTGACCCTGATCTAAATTCTGAGGGGGGGATTAGGGACATTAGGTTGGGAGGGTTAAGGTAGAGGATTAGTAAGGCTAGTATTAAGAGTAAATTTAAGACACGAGAATGGGTATCAGCGTCAATTAAAGCAACAGGTAATTTTTAGTCTAAATATACCATGCGAGGCAATGCTAGGAACAAGCTGATCAAAGTCGATATCTATCAACATGTCAATAGACCTAGCCCCTCGAAGTAATTGGAAACTACGTTCAAAACAAACCAGCGGACATCGTACTTCTGCAACAGCACCTGACGGACATTCACAAGGAAGCCTTTCTAATTTCTTCGAAAATAAATGTGCGAAATTGGGGTACGTTTTTCAGTATAAAGCTTTTAGGTTCAGTCTTCAAGTTGATATGAATATCTGAGTTAGAATCCATCAGGAACTGCTAGTATCTGTGGTGTATGTACGGTACGTCATTCACAAGGTTACATCTTCCGGTTTTTCGCAAATATGCAAGTTCATCGCCAAAAAGTCAGTTAATTGCGACAAAACTAATTGCAGTAGTTAAGCAGGAATGTTCTGATGTAGTTAAGGACTTAAAGACAGTAGCCAACTTTCATAATCACTTTACCATTTCCCATTCGCAAAGCGCACAACAGTAGTTCCAATGGGTCCTTTCAAAATCCTACAAAGAATTTTCGCAGAAACAAGCATATTTCGCATAACAAAGTGAGACACAAATCAGCACGTTGCTATATAAGTTGAGTAACTAATAATCCCCAGTTTTCAGGCGTCAAAAAGGATAACAAAGCGTTAATTAGAATACTCCCATGCACACGTGTCCTCGGAGCTGGTCACCAGCTAGAGGATTTTCCTGGGCAATGCTCATCGAACATTGTCATTAATAATTGCACATGACAGTTCACAATCACGCTTGATCTGGTCGGATTAAATGATGTTGGAGATGTTTCTGGAGGGGGGCAAGAAGAAATGTCATCAACGGCTAAAGTGCTGGTGGTGGTGGTAATGTTAGTATTAGGAGGAAGGTGAAAGAGTTGGTTGGGTGGATGGATGTGGGTGCGCATAGGGAGTCTGGAGGTAGGGGAGTCATTGGGAATGGCATTGGCATGTGACCAGCGCAGCTTAGACTGGATGTCTTTTGGCTGCTCTATAGCATGCGAAATGGAAATTCCGCATGTTTGAGCCAGTGTGTTGAACGCTGGATTAGGCTTGCGGAGAGATGTGGAGTGCATTTGAGGGAGGTTCTTGCTGATGGAATGTGGAGGAGGATGCGGTTGGGGGGAGGTGGGCGGGGTCGGGGCTGTTGGCAGCTATTCGAAGATGGTACTTGCCACGGGAGGTGGTGTAGTATTGAGGATGCTGCTATATGAAGGTGAGCAGTCCGGTCAAGGCGATCTGTGGATGAAAGGTGAGCCTTCTAGGCGTCTGCTACACTTGAAGTATTTCCACCTCAAAACTGCGCTTGGAGCAGGTGTGGGATTGGTTGTTTGTTTTGGGGAGAGGGTTGGAGCAGTTGTTGTTGTTGCTGCTGTTGCTGGCTATTTTGGGCTTTGTTAGAGGTGCTGCAAGCTCTCCACTCCTGCCGTCGGCAGACGGGGAGGAACTAACAGTCTTGCTAGATGGAAGTCATTTCACTGCGCCTCTGTTGGTCAGAGTGTGTCTGCATGAGATGCAACAGGATATGTATGTGTGCGTGGGTAAAATGGGGTTGATATGTAGAGCAGAGCAGAGCAGGGCTGTGGATGTGGATGTGGTTAGTTGGGGGGTAGGTAGTTGGGTGTGGGGCTTGAAGGTGTTCTAAGTTGCTTGCGGTGGAGTTGCTACCTTAGGATGTAGTCGAGGGAGATGCATTTATGAGGGTGGTTGACTTGTTTTGTGTACCGTTTGTTTGTAGCGTCACAGCAGTGTCATACAGCGGGCGATAGAAGAGTGGACAAGGAGGTCAGCGGAGGATGGCGGTGCTGGTGCTGTTGGATCAGGGTCGGTTAACGCCGTTGCCGTTGGTGCTGCTTGTGGCCGCGACGGCGACGGCGGCGACGACGACGGCGGTGGCGGTGATGGTGTAGAGAGGTCTGCAGTGTTGGAGGATGAATTGGCAGCGAAGATTGCTGAATTGTCGGCTGGTACGGGCATGAACAGGGAGTTTTCTCAACAGTGTTTGGAGGAGTGTGCTTGGAGCTAAGAGTTGGCTTTCGAAGCCTTCCGGCGCGTTCGGGAGGCAGGGATGCTGCCAGAAGTGGCTCTCTCGGGATGACTTGGACTTTGAGCATGTGCTGGGGAAGGAAGTGGATAGAAATGCGCGTTGACGCGCGTATAAGCAGGATCCCTCGTAGGAGGATGTACTTGGCGGAGAACGCGGGCATATGGTAGAGGGGCGCTAACCGACCGCGGTACGGAACTCACGCGTCCGCTTATGACTAGGGACTCTCTTTTGTCGGTAGTGTCATTTTGTCCATTTCACGCGCCGCCGTGCGGCTGCTGGCGACGCTAGAGAGAGAGAGAGAGAGAGAGAGAGAGAGAGAGAGACAGCGCCAAGGCACAACGAGGCGAGTTAATTCCGTAGCGCGACCGGTGAGTCCTCATTTGCCCGATCGCAGCTGACAGGACAGCGAGCCTGGGGCTTGCTGTTAGCGGTTGTTGAACTTCTGATTAACAGGTCGTAGGATCGAACCCCAGGTGTTCCACACTCGGGGTTGAGTACGGCTGGCTGACGACGGCCAATAAGCTGCAAATGGCCACTGCATTCTCCCTTGTCTTTGTCGATTATAACATAAAGTCTAAAGTATCACATGCAGCATACATTCAAGTTAATGGATGAGGTGACCTCACACTTGTTACGTTCTCTGATGTTGCTTGGTTCTTTCTCTGGACATTGTTTGTGCTCACTCTGAATTACTCCTAGATACAAACGTCCTCCGCTGCAAGTGAATTATCGAGGTTGCACCCCGCCTGTGGAGTAATCTTGTGAGACACCCCCTGTGCCCTAGGTCCTCATGAACTGGTTCCTCTCACCCCATCTGGCGAACAGACGAAACTCAATTGTTGCAGAAATCACTACCCTTTTGGCGTGAGGAGGCGGTCGAAGTTGAAGTTCAAATGGCTTCTGATAATGTTGTGTCTCCGTTACATGTACAGTATCTGGCCTGATTCATGCAATTTTAACCGAAATTCTGCAGTGTGTTTCGATTAGGGAGGATAACTTCGGTGGAGTTGTTTGCGCCTGCTCAATAAGGAAAGGCCCTGGAATCAATACGCTCAGATGAGGCATGCGTCAATCGGCATGTTGATTTAGATTCCACGTACGAATGACGGCAAGCACAGCCAATTCCCAGGAAATGACAAGATGCAATCGACGCACATTTGCGCAAGCTTACAGAATTTCTTGTTCGGCACCGTCAAATAGTACTGTTTTTGTACATGATTCGTAAGCCTGATGACGAGCTGGGGAAACAGTCTCGAAAGTATACGCAGTATAGATTATTTTGTTCCCAAATATTCTCGCCAATTTTATATTACATGCTATAGGCAGCATGTTATTACCGACGAATAGAAGGGAGACTGAATAGCCATTTCTGGTTTATAAGCCGTCGCGAGTTAGAGCCTCAGGTGTTCCACAATTTGAGGTTGGGTACGGCTGGCTGACGACGGCCAATAGGCCGCAAATTGCCACTGCAGTCTCCCTTATCTTTGTCGGTAATACTACAATGCAGTCAAATGCCAGGAAAGCCTCTCAGGAGAACCAACTTTACTATCTGCATGCTCTTCCAAGTAGTCAGCATTCGTTCTGAGTCGTGAAAGTCCCCACTCCTCGATTCTGCTGCACTGTACTTACTAGTATACTTACCTGAACGACAATGATGGGGAGGTCGTCTTTCAGAAGAAAGACCTCCCTCAAAGTTTTTCTTTAAAATAGAGTCACAATCGCACGTCCAGTGCATAGTAGTGGGCCTCCGGATTTTGCTGCAGATGTCCATGACGTGCAGACTGCAGCCACATACTCCACATCCGATCTGGCTGTGGCAAAATGTATATTACGGTGAGATTTGCGATCCTCGACAGTTTACGAGCAATGCTATTTGGAAACTTTGGTTTTTTTTCGCACGATACTATCGTGCTTATTGAGCGTCAAGCGGACGTCACAGGTAAGACCCAGTTATCTGAGTTTAGAATCGAAGGAAAACACCTGCCCTTCAGCAGTCCCTTCTGATTGTATTTGAACTTCTTAGGTGCTCGCGAAGCAGCTAATCTGGCATTTTGGTGTTGAAAGATTAAATGCACGACACTGGAATGTGGGCCCGCCGTATCACAGGTGGCCTTGCGCTAAATTCCATGGGGGAGAGGGGAGTTGGAGCTGGTAAGGTTAAATTTAGGACACGTGGACAATTACGACCCCTTGGGATGAAGCACAAAGTCACCTCTAGAAGGGGGAGGGGTTTGTATTCCCGCGTCCGATCCAATTTCCTAGATGGAGGTCCCAGAAGACCCCGGCCCCACGCACCTTGCAGGAAGAAGGGCAAGCGTGTGACTGAATCCACCTGCCGGGACCAAGTGACGGGACGTGTTACTCCTCCCAACCGGCGCCTCACTTCTGTGTACTACTCTCCAGCAAGTGGGGACAATTCAAATTAAGTGTGCCTTGCATCTTTGGAAAGATGAATACGCCGAAGTCCCAGTAGGCAATTGCCGTTTTTAAATTATATGGAATGGTGCCCCTGCCCAAGAACCAATCTTCTGAATTTCAAGAGAAATCATTCTGGGGGGAGAGTGTGGAAAGGTCACATAGGCAAAATGGACTCAGTGGAACCGCTCTGGCGGGCA